TTACAAAATGAACATTGGGGAACTGAAGAAAGAACAGAGAAGGGCAACCAAACTGATAAGAGGCATGGAGGAACTCAGCTATGAGGAAAGATTAAAGGAACTGAATTTATTCTCTCTGGAGAAGAGGAGATTAAGGGGAATATGATCAACATGTATAAATACATCAGTGGTTCATATAGTGAACTCCATGTAGAGCTATTCACCCTGAGGGCATCACAGAGGACAAGGGGGCACTCTTTACGTCTTGAGGAAAAGAAATTTAATCTCCAAACACAGAAAGGTTTCTTCACAGTGAGAGCTGTGAAAATGTGGAATAGACTCCCTCGAGAGTTGGTTCTGGCCAGCTCACTGGATTCTTTCTTGGATACACAGAATATAACTGGTTACTGTTTACAGTATAGGTAAAATTGATCCAGGGAATATCCGATTGCCTTTCACGGGATCAGGAAGGAATTTTTTCCCATGCAAGAGTATATTGGATCATGCTTTGCTGTTTTTTTTGCCTTCCTCTGCATCAACTGTGGGTGTATGATTATAACTTTTTTTTTTTTTCTTTTAATGGTTGAACTGGATGGTCATTTGTCTTTTTTCAGCCAGACTAACTATGTAACTATGAAATATTATTTTTTTTGTTATTTCTCACACACAGCATAGGCATACTTGCAACTTCACCATACAACACATTCTAATAATCCTCCTGAGTATGGCGATACCCCATGTGTGAGACTTTTTCACAGGCTATCCACATAAAGAGGTCCAACATCCAAGGAGAATCTTCAGGCGTTATCCACTTTAAGACCAGGCCAACCGCTGACATTTTTTGTCAGTATTTGTGCTAGAACTTAGAACCCCCAAACATTATATGAAAAAAATAACAGAGGCCATAGAGAATAATAATGATTGGACACATCCATCACGTGATAGGGAGGGCCAATCACAGCACCAATATCCTGATCTGTGAAGTGCTGTGTCCGACAGACACAGAGGCCATACCCCTGAGGCCAGGAGAGGCGCATGTTCTGAGAGGATGTTCAGAAATGTCCTCTCAGAACGGGAAAGTTCCCAATCGGCCGTTTATGTGCTGTTGCCAGATGTAAAGCAGTTAAAAACTGAAATATTGTCTCTTAGTTAGATGCTTTTCATCCACTAGTTTTACTAAAATATAGCAATGCTAAGAAAGATTTTGCATACAAACACGTCAAAGGCATATCCTACACATGGTAGTCACAGGGTTAAAACAAGCTTATGAGAGAAGGAGAAAAAACACCTCTAAGTGCAGTATATCACTTTATTCAGGTGTAAAGGTAGGAACGCTCACATAGATAAGGTAAGTATTAGCATAAAAACAGAGTCTGCTACAGTCTTTTTGGAAGCCTTGCCCTTAGTGCCATACGGGCCCCCCCACCCTTATCTTCCTCATACAGCTATAGCACCACCATCACCCCACTCCAGGATTACACAGGACTTTGAGTAGTTTTTGCGCTGACCCCCCCCCATTCCTTAAAACAAGCTTATGGCTGCAATAGCTCACCACAGCCTCCATCCCTGGTCTTCCCTGGTTAACATGGGAGCCCTGGACTGGCAGAATTATGTCGGGATGGAAAGTGGATGGGAAATCATACTGTAGAACAGGTATTCTCTCATGTGAACCCATGAACAGCCAAGTCTGAGAGCTTCCAGATTTAAAAGATGTCAATCCAATTTGTCTTCCATTCCAGGTACAGTGCAAGGAACGTATCAGGGTTTTTCTAGACTCTTGATATCTAAAAAAGAGTTCCTGTCATTTCACTTTATTGCTATCAACAGGGCAGCTGCCAAAAAAAAAATAAAAAATAAAATATAATATAAAAAGTAAACAAAATATAAAGTTCAGCCACATGCTGTAGTGGCTACATATCTTTCCTGTTCCAGCAATGTGTCTTGCCCTGAGTTTCACAGCTGCGGCCAATTAATCGAAGGTAATTATAAATGGATGGCGTACCATGGACAAAGACCCAAGCAATGTTTGTCCAAGTGACCCTCAAACCCCCATGAGTTTACCAAGCCTGTCCTGGTGTGCCTCTTCCATTCTTGAGGCTTCCTGTTCCTCTGCTATAGCTGTCTGGCCCATGCAGTTCATAGCTGCCAATCCAGATATGATCCATATGTCACTACTGACCAATGGCATTGAACTTCTGGCCATTGGCAAAGCCAATAGTTGTGGAAAATCCATCCAAGAGCTAGAAAACCTTGTCAACGTGCAGATGGGGGGACAAGCAGTGCAAATATTGCTAGGCTTTTGTCTCCAGTGCGTGGAGCTATTGGGTTTACTATTAATATTTTAAGGTGCTCTTTAACCAAAGGAAACTTATGTGTTCTTTCTATTTCAGTTTTGGGGAGTCACACAGCAAAATTAGAAGCTAATTTAGCTGAAATTTAATCTAACACAAAACTGTCAATTTTGCTGTGGATTCAAAGTCCACTAACTTTTGTGCCCATCTCTAAAGACAATGCTGCCCCTCTGGTCAAACTTTTCAGAGTCACGCTATCACTGTGGCACAAAGAACCCTTGCTAGCAGGAACAACAGGTACATTCAAACAAGGGAAAGCATCAATGGAAAAAAAGCTGCACAAATTGTTTTTGAGTTGAGCTAAGCTGCACTATACAAATTATATGTTTTGCCTTTGCATACACTGAAATGTAATATTAAAGTATATGCTAATTAAATAAATCAGTTTTAAACATAGGTGCAAATTTATCCAAATGAAGAAACACAAACAGCAATGTTGTGCTCTTGTATACAGCTAACTTTAAGCTAAAATCATATATTGTTTTAACCTCTACCCTAAGTTGATTTTATCATATAAAATCAATATATTGAAAATACACAAAAAAGAGAAATAAAACTATTTTGTTTAGCATTTTCAAACTGAAAAGTGTAACTTTACCCTTTATTTTTTAGTTGGCCCTGAGCAGACAATAGCTGCCTTGATATGAGCATTACAATGCCTCTTAGTAGATAGAGAATGAAACTGAAGACCAGAGAATGCCTGGCAGGCAAAATAGAAGCCAGCCGCTATGCACCAAATTCTTAAGGAGTTTAGTTTCCGCTTCAGCTCAGCTTTCCAGCTCAGCTCATACACCTAAAGAAAATAAACTGTAATCTTAGACGACCTTGAATATTAGTTGAATTACCTGGTACTACAACACTGGCAATTCAGACACACACATTCCCTTTAACAATTTTAAGAATGGAACCTTGCCATAAATATGTTCCGTATTATCAAGAATACAATATGTAATAATTTAAGCTTTTGATTGCATTCCTTACCTCTTACCATAGTTACAATTTTGAGTGAAAGTGTCATTATATGCTTTTTAACATGATTCTACTTTTTGACCATTAAATACTATAATCCTGTCAACCTGAACATTTGGTTATTACATAGAATTTTCCCAGTGCAGCTGAAATAAGAAATACATTCAGATGTTTTCTTTTTTTCACATTGTGCAAGAAAAGCATCTTAACTCGACCTAAAGTTAACTTGTATTGTTTCAATCTGAACCATATACCGACATTTATTAAAAAAATCCCAGCCCTTGAGGTTTTCCTTCTTCTTCCTTCCTTTCTTTAAAATCCAGTTCATGCTCCTGTCTTTTCTGTTGAACAAAAGGTCCTTTCACCCCTCCCTTTCATAGGTGAAATCATAATGCTTGTGCTTTTTATTTCTAATGTGGAAGTTTTGTCTAACTATACATTTATTTAAAGAATCAAAAATTAGTCTAACAGAAATCCAAAATAATTTATCCAAAGTAGATTCTTAAAAAAAATTGCAAAAAAAAATTATTTTAAATTAGCTTTACATAGAAACCTAGCATTTAATGCACAATATATCAACTCAACATTAACAGGTAGCATTAATAACACCTTATTCTGGCATGATTTGCATTTTTTTACTTTTACATTATTGCTTGGCTATAATATAATTAGAGGCAGCAGCAACCCAATCTAGTTCATTATTATTAATATTATTAAGAGAAAAATAATTTATTAAGTAGTTACTGTTGCAAGACCTGGTTTCTTAAAACACTTTAAGATTGGACTGTTTTTCACCCCCTTCCAGTCCAGACCATTTTTAAGCATTCAGCATTGTTACATTTTGAATGACAATTAGTCAGTCATGCAACACTGTACGAAAATTAATTGTATATCATTTTTAAGACTGATAGAGTTTTCTTTTTATGGTATTAACTCACCCTGGGTTTTTTTTAATAAGACCAAACATTTTGAAAAAACATTTTCTTAGTTTCTATTATAAAACTTTGCAAATAAATAATCTTTCTTTATAAGTGTAGGCCAAAATGTATTCTGCTACATTTCTTTGGTGAATAAAAAAATTCTGTACATTATTTAGTCTGTGTAAGTGATATAGAGTTTACAAACTATGGATTACATATTGAAAAATGATAAGTCCTCATGTCCTGAATGCCAACCATGTTTCTTGAGGCCATAAAATACCAGGACAGTACAAATACCCCCAAAATGACTTTTTTTTTGGAAAGTAGAAATGCCAAGGTATTTAGTAGGCTGCAAGGTGAGGTTTTTTGAAGTTGTAATTTTTGTTTTTCACGATTTGTTTGAAAATTAAGAAATTATTATTTTTTTCACAAAGTTGTCATTTTGACAAATATTTCTCACACACAGCATATGCATACTATGCATATGCATAGAAAACACATTTTTATACTCCTGATGAGTATGGGAGCACTTCATGTGTGAGACTTTTTTAAAGCCTAGGTGCATAGAGGGGCCCAAAATGCAAGAAACGCCTTTGGGATTCAAGGAGCATAAATTATGCATTTAATTTCCTGACTATCTATCATATTTCTTGGGTTCTTACAGTGCCAAAGCAGGAGAAACACCCAAAAAATAACCACATTTTGGAAAGCAAACACCCCAGAGGTATTTTCTGAAATGAATACTAAGTCTTTTGAAAATATATTTTTTGTCAAAAGTTTTTAGAAAATGCAGAAAGTAAATGAGAATTTTTTTTTACACCAAATTGTCAATTAATAAGATATTTCTAAAAGACAGCATAGATATAGGATTAAACCTCAAAACACATTCTGCTACTCCTCCCAGGTATGGGGATACCACATTTGCAGGGGCGGACTGACCATTTGGAAACACAGGCACTGCCCGAGGGCCCGGGGTCAGTAGGGGGCCCCATGAGATGCCCCTGGTACCTTTTTCATAGGCTTTTTTTGAGTTTGGGCAAGGACACAGGGGCCCCATGATCCCCTATTGCCCGGGGGCCCCATGAGTTGTCAGTCCACTCCTGCACATTTGTGAGACCTTTTCCCAGGCTAGCCACATAGAAAGGCCTAAAATCCAAGAAGCACCTACAGGCGTTCTAGGGGCACAAGTTACATATCAAATTTCCTGACTATGTATCAAGTTTTTGGAGGCCCTAGAGCACCAGGGTAGTGGAAACACCCTTAAAACAACTACATTTTGGAGAGTAAACCTAAAGTATTTTTGTAGTAGTAGTTTAAAGAATTAATTTATTTTTATACAAGTTTTTGGAAAATGCAGAATTGCATAGAAAATTAAAATAGTCAATTTCATAAAATATGTTTCACCCACAGCATAGGCATACTTAGAATATCACCTCAAATCACATTTAGCTTCTCCTTCTGAAAATTGGGATACCACATGTGTGAGACTGTTTGAATGTTTGTACTGATTATCTACTGGATATTATATTTAGAGATGAGCGAATCGAAGTAGGCGAAGTGGAATTCGTTTCGAATATTAGGAAAATTTTGATTCGAAATTTTTCCTAAAATGGCGGCGACATGTGCGGCGACGGAGCGGGGATGTCTGGGAAGGCGCGCAGACAAGGCGCGCTGACCCATAATGCATTCATTCATGACATGTGATCGCATTAGCCAATCAGCAGCCAGCCAGCCAGCACAGTGTAATGGTCCGAGCTATAAATGGCGGACATTTTAGAATTCTCCATTTGCCTCCAGTCATTCAACAGAGGCAGACCTGGCTGTATTCAGGGAGAGAGTTAGGGACAGAGAAACGTTACTTATGGACAAGAGTTAGTTAGGGCCAACAGAATCGTTACTTAGGGACACAGAAACGTTACTTAGGGACACAGAAACGTTACTTAGGGCCACAGAATCGTTAGTTAGGGCCACAGAAACGTTACTTAGGGACACAGAATTGTTACTCAGGACAGACAGAATTGTTACTGAGGGATACAGAATTGTTACTGAGGGCCACA